TCGCAGAAATTGTCTTACAGCCATGACTGGGTTCTTCTGCTTGTATAGAATCATGCAGAATCTTGTTGCCAGACATAGCGACTTCCAGCAGCCACCCTCTTGACCCAGGACAGCACTACCTCCTCAAGGCACTTGTTGTAGGCCTCTGTGTTGATTCTCAGGCTATCATCAACAAATTTGGGAGTACTTTTCTTATAGAATTGATCAGAGTGAGTTTTCGGAGCTGCCGTACCTTCGTATTCACCATTAGACTCTTACAACTCTTTCCAAATCCTCTGCATGGTCCTCAGATTGGCACTCTGAAATGTTCGTATTGGAGCTTCCAGCGCGTATGATGAGCAGGAAAGCTTGCCGTTTACAAATTTCATGAATGAATTGCATTATGGTGTTCTTTTTCTCACAGATGGTGCCCAACTGACCCTACTATGCTGTTCAAGCAACAAAATCAAAAGCAAAGAACGCACTTGCACAAAACTAACAATTTACCCGTCGCACCTTGTATAATATCAACTAAAATATTTATATAATAATTGCATATATGTATCTACTTTTCAAACATTGAAATAATTTAGATTTTTAATCTTTAAAGGGTCAGTTTAAACCAAATATGAAATATCTGAGCTGAAGCTCGACACACTTAACTTTGAAGAAAAATATACGGAGAAAACAAACAAAAATCCTAATATGCTGTTTTAATGTTAATATAAAGTCAACGTCGGACGTTTCGGTCTGATTGCATTGGTCTTGCTCTTATGCCCATCGTCTTTTTCATGTTGAATTGAATATGGTCTATGTTAATTATATTTTATGAATATGTCCTGAAGATAGTCTATTATCCCGAAACGTCCGACGTTGACATTATATGAACATTAAAACAGCGTAATTGCATTTTAGGATTTTTGTTTGTGTTTCCGTATATTTTTCTTCATACTGTCGGATCTATATCCATATATTTGCTTATACTTAGCTTTCTAGATTTCAGAGCGTTCAGTCTCGTTTAAGCCGCTTTGTTCATGATGTTTTCCATTCGACAGTCCCCTTCTGACAGAATAACGCTTGCCCACCTCTATTTTCATGGTAAATGTTCATTTGAGCCCCATTCTTTGAGCTTTACCAGTCAAGTCCTTTATAGTTAGGACATGCCATCTTAATCACTCTCATTTCCTTCGTATTCTACATTTAAGAAGAAAAGTCCATTGTTTTCGCCAAGAACTGCTACTGTATGGAATAAACACCCGTCTGGATGATTCTTTGAACGCTATAATGTTAACATCTTGAATTCAAGAGCCAGACATTATTTATCCTCATAATATTCACTTTCTATCGCTTCCTTTTTCATTTATTATACACTATTTATCATTACAATTTTTAACAGTAAAATTTTACTGTGAGTGGCTCTCGAACCTTGTGTTGGACAAAAATATTTGTTGCTAACTATCACGATCAAAGATGACAATAAATATTGAATAAGATAAAATATGGACGAACATATTTGGACTATCCATAGTCAGGTTAATAACTAACATGTTCCACTAATAACAATATCGATTTTTACCCGTGATCAGGAAAAGATCATGAAGAATTCAAAAGTAGATTTTCAAGCATTTCCCAGAAAAGAAAGATATTGCACCAAAACTCTAAAAGTATAAACACTTTCCTTTGATCAAAAAGGAAAATGTCGAGATTTTCGTCATTTTTTTTTTTTCATAGAAAATCCAGGATATTGATTGAAGTCTGATAAGCCGAATTGGTATCGATCATATTAGAAACAAATGATTATTATTATTATTATTATTATTATTATTATTACTATTATTATCTATCCTGGTTATAAACGGCTTTAGAATAAAGATCTATAATGGTCAGGGGTATCAAGTATTTTATAAGCACGGCGAATATCATATAAATGTCAGCCGATAAAATTATTGCCGCTATTCCATGCGATGTGGATGTGCGAGTGCAGCCCTGCGGTGAGATTAGTGTGTCGGGTCAAAATATCACTTTCGAAAAGTATACGTTTGGAAATCATCTTTTTTTCCTTAGGCTGAACCAAAGGTTTAATCGCAAACTGGACTCTCCATCTTTGAGAAAACAGACCGATAGGAAGACAACTCTAAATTCAAAATCGTTTGGGCATTGCGCTAGCAATCTACGCCATATAATACCAACTTGGCATGGAAACAAGAGCAGCACTTCCGAGCAGGATCAATATGTGGCTCCATACACCACAGGTGAATATATATATATATATATATATATATATATATATATATATATATATATATATATATATATATATATATAGCGCTGGTTGAGTCTCCTTTACCCATAGGACTGTGCCCATGGGACAACTATCCGCAGGCAGCTCAACTGGATCATTAGAATTTCCAGTAAGAATATATCCAATAAAAATATTACACTTTAGCTGGTCACATATTTTTATGATTTAGTAATTTCTTACACACACACACACACACACACACACGCACACGCACACACACGCGCACACATATATATATGTGTGTGTGTGTGTGTGATGATTGTGGGAAACAAATATTCGTACACGTACAAAATTTGAATTTATTGTATTTCCAACTAATATTTTCCAACTAATATTTCATTTTAGTTGGTCACATATTTTGATGCTTTAGCAATTTCTTATACACACACAGCCACACACGCACACACATGCATATATATATAATGGGGAGAGAAATAAATATTCGTACAGGTACAATTTTTTTAATTATTATACATTATATATATATATATATTCATTATGATATGAAAAAACGATACCAATAGACGTCGACGAAACGCGTCGTTATAGATTTTCCCCTTTGTCTTATCAATATATATTCTTTCTTATATTCCTCCTGTGATCAGTAAGAGAAAAGATCATTTCATCGCTAAAATGTTATGAATTGTTTAAAAAAAATCACGCCGATTTTCCTTCTTATCCAGGTAAAATCGTTTCTTGTCGGCTTTTGTATATTTAATGTCTTTTGAAATTCTTCAGGAAGACACTGAAGACAACGTGAGGCAGAGTAAAAGATTAAACGTAAAGGATTTCTGTAAATTTCCTATCCCTCTTCAAAGCAAGATTTAAACACACATGAAATGGGATTATTCTTTTAAATAAGCTTTGGCTCAGAAAACCAAGAAGGAAATGAACCGAAAGTAATGCTATCAACGGCTTGAGGATAACATCAGCGAAGATCTGTAGGAAGCCGAACTGTGTGATTGGCATACAACATTTGCTCACTATTTGATGCAGGCAACTGATTGAGATCATTACTGGAAAATTGTTAGGGAATTATTTTTTTTTCCAGATTTATTTTTCAGGCAAGTACCCCTTCCTACGAACAGACAAAAAGTTCTCATATAATTTCTGGCAATGTCTTATCTTCTTGCCGCAAAAAATAGAAAACGTTCAGTCAGAAGGACGTTTTTTTCTGTTGACCCCGCTGTTACTTTAATCTACCGATACTCCCTCGGTAATATCTATTCATAAGATTATAAAAAAATATGTTAACTATTTACAATGCGACATTTAATATTTGCCATTTAAAAGAGATTCATTATTCATCATTTTATGAAGAAATAAATTTGAAAATAAATATTTTTATTCAAAAATTTACAAAAAAACGAAAAAAACAAACTATAAAATTGCCAGCTGATTGTATTCTTGACTGGCCAAATATCTGATACTTGCCAATAGACTTGATCTTTTCAAAATGATAAATAATAAATATTTCAGTTCAGTTGGTCACATATTTTTATGATTTAGTAATTTTTTATAAATTTATGAATAAAAAATATTTTCATATTTATTCCTTTATAAATTGGTAAATGATAAGCAGGGCATTTTATAGTTGGTTCACATTTTTAGAATGTTGCATATATAAAATTATTCTTGTAAATAAATAATCTAACAATTAAATAGTTGTAGGAAATTTAACAACTCCCCAATGTGTCGTGGCTTGATGAACAAAGTTGAGATAATAGAACAGTTTAAAAACGTACTTTTTTATAAGAAATATATTACATAACGAGAAGAGAATAGAATATTACTAAAAACGTTTTTTTAGCAGTTAAAATCATGTCATCGAAACGTAGCGTATGCATTGTCCTTGCATCATTCAGGTTAGCTCGTGGCTCGCGTTGTCTGTTTATGTCGTCAGCTGAAGACACGTCACATGCGTTCGTTGTCGTTTCAAGTTAGCCCTCGAATCCTATGTCTTGCCTAATTTGGGGTCGTACCCATTATCAGCAGATTATAATAGACGCCTCTTACTATAAGCAGGTGTTATCTATCAAAGGGAAATAACCTATTTTTTATATAGTGTTTAATATTTTTTCTTCGCCGAACGCTACTATGTGGCGCTGTTTAATTTTATAAAACGACAAAACAATTCCTTCCTCTTTCTTGATGTACTAGAACGTAGACGAGAAGGTCCCCACTGGGACTCGTTCATTCCCTGGGTCGACTGAAGACTGAACAATTATACACACGCATACAAATAAACATATTCGTAATAGTTAATTATTTCCTTTCTTTTCAATTGTGTACACATTAATGTAATTTATTATTGTTAATACGTGCTTGTAACTCACTTTTGTTTAAAATCCATAGTTATTATTTTTCCCGGGCAAACATGATTACGCGAAATATTGTTTGCGAGACAAATGTACTAGAAGAGAACCATTTGAATAATTCTCTAATGTTTATAATAATAATGATAAACCTGACTCAGTGTGAGGACTTTGCGCATAGAAACAGGAGATGTCATATAAATCATCCGAGGCTGTAAAATTCTAACACAGCGAAAGATGCCTTCCAAAAGCTGAGCAAAGTATTAAGAAACAAAAAAAATATCGTTAGAAACAAACAAAAAAAACGTACTGAACTGTTAGATGATATGTGTCGCCCTCATCAGTTAATCCTGGACAATCTCCTCACAGATGAAGAAGAGACTTGAAGGAATAGAACTGCCAATCTACAGAAAGATGCTTATAATACTCTGGATCGAATATGTTAGCAACGACGTGAAAGAAAGAAAGAAAGAAAAAAAACACAAAAAAAGTTTATAGAAAAAAAAGAAAAAAAGGCATTGATGAAAAAATATTGGAAAGAAAAACGAAAGTAAGAAAAAGTTGAAAATAAAAAAGAGGAAGGAAGAAAGAAAGAAAGAAAGAAAGAAAGAAAGAAAGAAAGAAAGAAAGAAAGAAAGAAAAAAGAAAATTAATAAAACTGGAAGGAAAGGAAAAAAGAAATAAAAATGAATAAAAATGAATAAAGCAAAAAAAATGAAAATAAAAAGCAGATGGAAAAAAAGAAAAGAAAAAAAATAAATAAAACGTGGAAAGGAAAAGCTGAATGTCAAAGAAAGAAAGAAAGAAAGAAAGAAAGAAAAAGAAAAAAAAAAATAAAACTGAATGGGAAAAAGAAAAAAATAAAAATGGTGAATAAATAAAAATGGAAAAAGAAAGAAAAACGAAAGAAAGAGAAATGAAAAGGAAGGAAGAAAAAAGAAAGAAAGAAAGAAAGAAAAGAAAGAAAATGAAAAAACTGTATGGAAAAAAAGAAAAAGGTTAATTTGAAAACTGGAAAAAAGGAAAGAAAGAAAAAAAGAAAAAAAGAAAATTAATAAAACTAAAAAAGAATAGCAAAGGTTGAATAAAATGAATAGAAAAAAAAAAAAAATAAAAAGCGGATGGAAAAAGAAAAGAAAAACGTGAATAAAGCTGAATGTCAAAGAAAGAAAGAAAGAAAGAAAGAAAGAAAGAAAGAAAGAAAGAAAGAAAATGAATAAAACTGTATGGAAAGGAAAAGGAAAAAGGTGAATGAATTTGAATGACATAGAAAAAAGAAAGAAAGAAAGAAAGAAAGAAAAAAGAAAATTAATAAAACTGGAAGGAAAGGAAAAAGAAAAGGTTGAATAAAAATGAATAGCAAAAAAAAGAAAGAAAATAAAAGCAGATGGAAAAAGAAAAGAAAAACGTGAATAAAGCTGAATGTCAAAGAAAGAAAGAAAGAAAGAAAGAAAGAAAGAAAGAAAGAAAGAAAGAAAGAAAATGAATAAAACTGAATGGGAAGAAAAAACCAAAAGGTGAATAAATCTAAATGCCACAGAAAGAAAGAAAGAAAGAGAAGAAGGAAGGAAGAAAGAAAGAAAGAAAGAAAGAAAGAAAGAAACCTTTAAAAAAACTGAACCTTTAAGAAAGAAAGAAAACGTCAGGTTCCTAACTGTATAAAAAAATCAAATAAAAGAAAAAAGTAAAGTAAAATTTGAAAACACGAAAATAAAAACCAAAACCATTTTTGGATTTCTTGAGCAACACTGGGAATTTTACAAGAAATAAATCTCGTCCAAACACGACGCAATTCGATTAAAGTTGTAATTCACTCTTAAATCTTTTTTTTTTTTTATTTCTTTTATTTCTTATATTTTTGTTTTTTTTTTTAAACCAATGACGTCGACTTTTTTCTTCGCCTCGATTTCAATTTTTCCATAAGAGTAAAGAAAAAACTAAAATTTAAAAAAAAAAATTCCCAACCAAGCAAGTTGCGGGATGTCCACCCCGGTGAAATCAAACAGAAATTTTAGACGGTGATCTCGAAAACGTGAAAATTCTTCGTTTCCACAAAGAAAAAAAAAAAAAAGAAAAAATACACCAAAAATTTTAGATTTTGGACATTTTTTTTTTCTCTTCAGTAACATCACAATGACATTTCTGCAACTGAAGAAATCAAATGATGATGCCGAGAAGACAGGATAAAACGCTACAGAAAGTTTTCAAAAGTTCTCTCCGTCTCTCTCTCGCTGTCTTTATATGTCTCTCCCCCTCTCTGTCTCACCCTTTCTCTCTTTCCCTCTCTCTCTCTCTCTCTCTCTCTCTGTTACAAAACTTTTTCTCATCTGCGCAAATCTTTCAGCAGCCTGCAACGCTTGTAGTACAAGTACTCTTTTAGATGAAAAAGGTAATCTGATTTCTATCATCTAAAGAAGTTATTTGAAATGTAGTCAGCTATTATAGAAAAATCATAATGTGTATGCGTGTTCGCTCGTAGTCCCGAAAATTATTCTATTATAATTGCGCTTGACCCATTAGCTCGCACGACCGTTACGCCCTGTCAGTATCTCATAAATAATGAACTATTCCGTTTTGATCGCGCGGAAAGTGAGGAAAAAGACAGTACTCGAAGTTAGTGAGAAAATGAAATGAACAAAGAATGAAAGAACGGAAGATAGAAATGATTATCGCTTTCTGCCAATACCTCATAAATATTACGTTTCCACCATAGACAGTGACAGAAATTATCTATCGCCAACGCTTCTTCTTTTCGGTGAGGAAACGAAAGGAACAAAGATAGAAGTCTATTTCAGGGAAATTTCAAACTTTTTTATTTGTATCCCCTTACTTTTTAAAATAACGACTAGCATTCATATTTTGCAATACTTTTTTAAGGTTGTTAAGCTCAAATATTTAACGAGGCGATAAGGGAATTTCTACGGATATTTTAATTAAGATTAAGAATTACGATTCATCAGAAAATCAAAATAGAAAAAAAAACGTGCAATTTTTCTGTTTTTTTTTTGTTTTTTGTTTTTTTCTTTTCTTGTATATAACATTTTTATTGTCTATCCATGTGCTGGGGCAAATATAACGTTGTGAAGTCAAATATGTAGTTTTCTGTTTTACCCCTGGCGCAAGTAACCTGCTCTTTCGTAATATCAACGACTAAATTGCTTATTTAGATATAATTTGGGGGACAGTTTTATTATTATTATTATTATTATTGTTTATTCATTTCATTTCGAAACTGGACTTTTGTAATCTTTTAAAATTCTATTTTTTTTCTTTGTCATTTCTTCTGGTGTTCATAATTAAAATGCTTACTTAACAAAATAAAGAGATTTTCTGCCATTAAATTAGTGGAGCGTTTTCTGGGTTGGAAAAATTTCCTCGTTATCCATACGGCGAAATGCTTGTGAGAAACTACACTATTTCTTTCTTTGTGAGGCCTGTTTTTTTTTTCTCCAGATTGGACAAACTGCTTTATTTTAGGTGTGCCGATGTGTATGTCTTATAGGTTTCTGTCATTTTCACGCCGGCATCAATTCCTTTCCCACTGCTGTTATTAACTTACCTGTGCTTTTTCTATAAATACTTCCATTGTAATTTTTTTGATGAAATTTCCAGTATGGCACCTAGACTCTATCGATTTGAGTGTAGTACTAGATTGGCGGAAAGGTCCCATCCTTTTACAGTTGAAATGGCGAAACGTAACCGTAAATTCTATGCTAACAGTTTCTTTTCTTACACTTCTCTCTTGTAGAACCCTCTTCCGGCATCTTTGTTTCCAGTCAACTTCGAACTTCAAAAATTTAAATGCAATGTCAATCATTTACATTATTCGGACTATTGTCCTCATCTTTGTCGCTATATTTATCAATATTAAATTATAATTATGGCGACAAAGATGAGAACAATAGTACGAATAATGTAAATAATGTACATAATACCTCATCTCAGAAATATAGACAGGCAATGTCAATCGTTATCTTAATTTCTGTTCTTTTATTGTTTTGCTCCTTAATAATCTCTTTTCTGATATTCTTTCACATTCAATAACCACTCTGAATCTTAGTGGCTTTATTGCCTTGCTTGAGGTTAAATGATAATTAAGAAGAAGGTTGACAATCCCTTCTTGCAAACTGTTTCAAAGTCGGGCTAAATATATTGAAAAACAATGTTGTGGCCAGAATACAAGATTGTTTCACACTCTTTCTGACTGGGAATGATTTTGAGGAATGAATACCAAGTCGAACTTTAAACGTTTCTATTCATATCCATGGTGAGTATTTGCGATATTAATTGAAGATAATATGGTAGAAGTGAAGATTACGAGGATGAGGAGGAAAGATAATAAGTGAACCTTGAACTGATGAGGTCAACAGTCAAGTCTTCTGGAACGTACGCACGCACGCAAGCAGATGTATGTTCCACGAAGTAGCAGTTCTCCGAAAAATCTAATTAGAACATTCTTCTTACGTTTGAACCAAGAAGGAAATGAAGGCGATTCAACTCCTTGGTAGTGCCAGAGCGTTTCCTGGTAGAATCGGGCTCATCTTTACATTTACGTTGAAATTGGCAATGGAATAGCGAAAGACTTGTAATGCTTAACATGTGGGGAAGTGTAGTTACCGTGTAAAATATTTCATTATCCATAATATTGAAAAATTAGGATTGTAAGCCTCGATATGACAGCAGTAACCTGTTTTTAGCCTAATCTGTCTTGTAGAAATAATGTATTAATATAGTGGTTTTTGTCTTTGACATGGCATTCATCATTAAGATGCTTAATTATGTAAACATTGTCTTTTACAATGAAAGAGAAAACCACCTTAGCATTTAGATCACAGTTTGGGAGTAAAATGAAGTAATCAATGCGTATATCTTTGATAGTATATTTTATAAACCGAACATAAAAATTCTAATAGACCGTATATGAAATAAACAACTAGCAAAATGTTTAAAACCTATAGAGACGTTTTAATTACAACAATTGAGTAAATCAGTCACAGAAATGACAAAAAAAATGCAAAAGTAAAGAGCTTGCTTTACGCAACGCCGAGTATCGTTTCTAAAAGTAGAAAATTACCAGAAAGGATTAAAAGTGTGTTAAAATGGAACGGCACAATTTTCAAAATTATTTCGAGAGAAAACATGATTTGTAATGTTAAAAATATACTTATATTGGCATTTCAAAGACAGGCATGTTTTTTTTTTTTTGTTTTTTTTTTTTTTTTTTTGATAATTAGTGTTTCCTGTCATATGATGATATTTTACTATTAGGAATGTAAGTTTGGTACTGCGGATAATCTCAACATTTTACATTATTGGTTACCAACACTTCAGTTGTCTCACTACAAAGTAAATCTAGGAATTACTCTTGAAAAGAACATGCAACCAGTGGTTAACTGGTACAAGATATAGTTTTCAACGTCTTCAAAACAAAACTGCTTTCATTTAATGACCAGAGAGAACCTTTTCTGCATTCCATTAGGATGGCTGATGCTGAACTCCAGAGGAGCAACACTCTACATTTTTTTGGTTTCACTTTTTCCACTGACATTAAGTTGAGCGACTATATCAAGTCAATTGATACGTCTGCTGCAAAGAAAGTTAGTTACCTTTGTCGTGTTAAAAACATTTTCTCTTCAGCATCCATCTTGCGCATATATAAATCTATAATTCATCCATGTATTGAATATTGCTGCCATATTTGTCATGGTAATCCTCACGATAGATCTGAAAAAAATCTAGTGGGGGTCTGCAATATAATAATGCTGACCAGGCATCTCATCTCCAGTCTCTTTTCTCACCGACGTGACGTGGCTTCCCTCTGTTCTACAAATTTTTTTTTTTATTGTAATTACTCGGGCCTAAATTCCCCTGGGTCCCTACCTAAATGGATTTAAGTGTGCTGGTAGATTGGAAACAAGATTTCAGCGTTTTACTTTTGAACTAGAAAAATACAACAGGCACTTCTACTTTTTTCTCGCACTTCCCACTTGTGGAATTCCGTTTCGATTTCTTGCCTCCCAGATCATTAAAATTTTCAAAAGTTTCAATGCAACGCCAATCGCTATAGTCTGTCTTTTTAAACCTTGTTTCTTATACCCTGTTTCCTCAATTGTCCCCCTTTTCAAACTTCTTGTTCTCTTTCACTTTAAAACCCGGTAAGATCCTGCCTTCTAGTTGTAATGTCGCCTTGCTTGGAGTGAAAAGATTTTTTTTTTAAATATTCATAGATTTAAATGACATTTCATCACATATATGCAAGCACATATCATTCCGTATGTTTAAGACCATATGACTCAATACCCAGCCCATTTGGTAATTATTAATTTAAATAATACACGAAGGTCACTTGATGTGGTTAATGTTTAGAAAATTTACCCGCTGCAGAATCGTGCGTTTAATTCTCACTGGGTACCCCATAAACATTCGCCATTAAAAATATTCAAAAAATATTGACATAATTTCGGTGATGAAGAGTTATCCGTCCTTAAATAGAACTATCTTCATCGTTTTTATAACATTTCGATCGTTGTGCTTTTCGGCCTTCTTTTCGGGTCTATCGAGCCAGATATTTATCAGGGGTTACGCCGCCCATGCCCGGGGATATCTCGTCTTGTTTAATTGTCCTTTTATTACTTTTCACTTATTGTGTGTCCT